TCAACTAAAGGCTTCTTAAACAGCATTATGAGACTCTAAAATAACAACTGGTGGTCATGTAGTAGCAGTAGCTTATATTTGTTAAACGAATCTTAATATTTTCTTTACCAGTTGAATGATAGAGCTCAATTGAGCCATCAGTAACACTTTTCAAAATGACAATCAAACTTTGGTTTCTCTACATTTAAATTGCTTCTGGCTGCAAGCAACCTTCTTAAATGCAGTATTTTTTTAAACCTGTTTCAACATAATAAATGAGTACTCATGAGAAGTGGAAATAATCTAAACTTACATGGAGGATTTATCTTGAAATTTAGAAGAACCTGGTGTAGGAATTTATTTCTGAAAAGTGATACAGTTGGCTCAAATTGAGCTCTATCATCATGTAAAGAATCTATTTAGAGGACTCTATATTTGTTATAAGTTCCATGTATAACCATTGTTCTATGTTGTTATAGCTACTAATAATTTCTGATATATTTTTTATCACTAGTTCGAACCCATTCAGGTGATGAATGTGATTACAATGTGAGAAATAAATGTTAGTTATCTTACTTTTTCCCCCTTTTAACCCCATTTTTGTGATCCATATGCATTTGCTATTCCCTGTGTTTCCCTTTTTTTCACATCCCATTTTGTATTTGGTATTTTTTTTATTTATGATTTATTTTGAATTACATACATGTGAATTTTTTTTTGGTTTATACATTTGTATCCAATTTTTTGCGATTAATGTACTTTGTTTGCACATGTTTTTTTTTGTTAAAGATGGGTTCCCCTATTTTCATATGATAATGAAAATCCCAATACTTATATGAATAGAAAGTGTCCTAATGACTTGGAAAAATACCAGTTTGTCTCTCATGTGCATAATTTATTCATAATTAGCTAGATTAGAAGAGAATTACCAGCAGAATTCCAATGAGTGACCGATGAAGAAAGGTCAAAAAGTCTTTTTTTGTTTATCCAGACTGTACAAACATAAGCATTTATGATTGGTTAAAACTGTTAATTATATGCAATAAGAACATAATGATATGATTAAGAATACATAATAATTCATTAGAAACACCAATTTGTCAAATAGTTTGCTTAATTTGACACCAAAAATATAAGGAAACCCATCTTTAAGTAAAACAATAATCGAAACGCCAGTTTGGCAGTATTGATGATTCTGAATTTGCAGGAGTTTTTTTTGTAGAGATTTTTGACATTTGGTTTTATTTTTTTTATTTGATTGTGAAAATTTTGCATGTAGCATGGTCACCTTTTTTTAAATCTTTTATTTTTTTCAGTTTCCCAACACAGCTTTTGTTTGTTATTTGCCTTGTAAATTCTCATTTTCTTGCCGTTTTTCTTAAAAGATGTGCTGGTTTTTGTGTGGTGGATGGTATTGTTCTCAAGTTCATTCTTTGACATAGTAGTTGTAGGGCTCTTGAGAATTTCTTTAAGAAAGAGAATCCACAAAGCTTAAGATTTTTTTTTTCAAAATGATTCTTATTCAAATTATTATGTTATTTTGAAAATATTTAATCATTGAGCATGAAATTAAGCATGTTGTACTTGTTTTTGTTTCAGAGTTTTTAAAATATTTCTCTCCTATCCATTTTTACCTGGATTAATTTTAAGCTCTGTCATGTGCTTACCCTTGCTTGCTATGCTCTATTAACCATGCTTACTGTACAATAGTGCTGGGTAACGATATGATACGTATCACGATACGATACATATCACGATACGATACATATCAGGATACGATACATATCACGATACAATGCATATCACGATAAATACATATCACAATACGATACATATCACGATACGATACATATCACGATACGATACATATCACAATACGATACATATCACGATACGATACATATCACGATACGATACATATCACGATACGATACATATTACGATACGATACATATCACGATACAATACATATCACGATAAATACATATCACGATATGAGATAAATATTAACATTTTTTAACACGTTTCAATATATATTAATTTATAACTTTATAACTGTGATATTTGGTAATATAGTTGATAGAAGTGGTTAGTTTCCACTGTCTTATAAAAAGTTTTTAACAATTTCAGTGACGTAAATTGTAATATCATAAAACAACATATAAATATCTCCAATTTTTTTATAGAAAAAAAGGTATCGCCAAGTATCGATACAGAACGTTTTGATATGATACGCGTATCGTGGCATGTTATATCGCGATACATCAATTCACCGATATATGATGCCAGCACTACTGTACAATAGTCTAGCTAGAAATAAATTCAGAAAAAGTTTCAAAAAAGATCATCTGCAAGAGCTTTTTGTAAGGAACAACTAGTACAAAAAATTAAACTCAACTGTTAGTAAGCCTTCATGGATTTGGTGTAAACTATTCCTTGCTTGTTTCTATTTGTAGATGATCCAAAGGTTTATAATGAAGATGCGTTTATATTAGAAGTTATAGAAGCCTATCATAATAGTGCTAAAACCAGGCATACATTAACATCATGTAAGTAAATACCATTTCTCATTACATATCTTTTCATTAGGCTAAGACTTTGGCGCCTATACATCTTATAACCTAGGGTTGATGAATACAGGAGGTTTAAGATCACTTGGAGTCTGAGAATTGATTCCAATGATCTTTGGACACCTCAGGATTTGAATCTGGAAATACATCAGGATCTCATTACATGAACTTGAGTAATGTACATATACATAAGGATTTTTTAAGTTTCTAAGCTCTTGTCTTCTTAATAGGATTTTTTGTTCATAAAATGAATTTTCATTCTATTCAAATCATGAATTTTCATTTTATTCAAATCATGAATTTTCATTCTATTCAAGTCATGAATTTCATTCTACTCCAGATTTTACTGTGATTTTTTCATTGACTTCATTTTCATTTGACAGTATAACTAAATGTCTCAAACTAGAAAGTTAAAAGTAATACTGAGATTTTGTACCCAACAAAGGGAAATATTAGTACTCAAGGGTATAATAAGTATCTAAGGGAGATATGATTATTGAAAGGGAATATTAGTATTTAAGGATATTATTAGTATCTAACAAAAATAGTAGTGTTCAAGAATGAGATTAGTATCAAAGGGAAATATTTCTATTCAAAAAATAATATCAGTATCAAAGAGTAATATTGATATCATCAAAGAGTAATATTAGTTTCAAAGGGGAGTATCAAAGGGTAGTATTAGTATCAAAGGGTAGTATTAGTATCAAAGAGTAATATTAGTATCAAAGGGAAGTATTAGTCTTCAAGAATACAATTAGTATCAAAGGGTAATAAAACTAACAAAGAGTAATATTAGTATCAAATAGTAATATTGATATCAAAGGGAAGTATTAGTATCAAAGGGGAATATTGATATCAAAGGGAAGTATTAGTATCAAAGGGAAGTATTAGTATTAAAGGGTAATATGTGATATTCAAAGAGTAATATTGATGTTCAAGGGT